AACAACAAACTAATTCTCCAGATGATAGTTCTTTTACTAAAATAGCATATTCTCAATCTGAAAATATATTTAACCTAATGTCAACTATACCAAAACCAATTTTTGATAATCTTTGATTAATATCATTAAATATCATTTAATAGGTATTGTTAAATATTAATTTTTAACTTTATAAGTCACATACAGACTGCTATTACTTCTAGTTCATCAAAATTGCCTGTCCTCACTGATTTACCTAGAATATCAACTAGTTCACCAAGAATATTATTTAAACCATATGATGCAGATAAGCATACTCAATATGAAAAATACCGTAATGAAGTTATATTAAAATAAGATCGATAACTCAAAGTGATTTACAAGCTCCAGAAGGTGATGTTTGACAAATTAGAAAGAATCAAGGCATAAATGAGAAAGAAATAAGATAAAAAAATAGATTTAAGTAAAAAAGTGTGGGCTATAAGTATATATTATTTTAATTCTCTTATATATATTGTTGAATTCAAAATTTAAACAATTATAAGATGGCTATAGTAATGTCTGTTTGAGTTTTTTTCCAACTAAACTATGGTCATAATTCAATAATTATAAGAAGAAACTTGAATCCTGACTCAACCACAATTATCCTGATTATTTGCAAGAAATTGGAAAATATGAATGGACCAACACTTTTTCTGGATAATACCACTTAGTAGTAATTATCATAATATAATTTTATTAAATTTTATTGATAAATTTTATATCTTAATTAGATTATGAGAAGAATGAAAAATATACATAATTTCAATATGGTGGCAGTTAAGAAAGTAATTTTTTGTATCTTTGGAATGAATAGCTTATCTCTAATTAATAATCAAAAAAATTCCAAGGAAATTTCTGAATGAAAAGCATCATTAGAAGTGGCTGAATATTATAATAAGTTATTTCAACTTGGAAATGATAGCACTAGCAATATTAACCATATTACTTATATCATCTTTCTATTTCTTTGTGAAAAACTACTATTCATTAACTTATGTATATATATCACAAGTATATATGATATTATACTAAATTCAAATTATCTATCAATTAAAATAAGCAGAACTTCATTGTAATATCACATAGATAAATATAAAGTCTATAATATATATAATCTTTTATAACTAATATTAATTTTCTTTTAGAAAATATATCAAAAAAATACAAATCTAACATTAAAGACTTGATAAATATTATTGAAGATGAAAGATATAATGAAAAAAAAATAGTTTAGAACTTGAAGATGATAAAGGTGATAATAATATAAGTGATAATGCTATTTAACAAGAAGCATATAATTTTTACATAGCAAATGACTTATTTACAGAAATTGAAGATGAAAATATTGATCAATTAGTTGAGGATTATTAGAATTATATTTAAAGTAATATATTTATTAAATAGATTTTCATTTTAATAATAAAGAATTCTGAATTTAATAATAAAAATTATTAAATAATGATATTTAATGAAATAAGTTGATTTAACAAATTTACATCATCAAACAATAATATTTAATGATTTACACTATTAAATGATAATATTTAACAAATTTACATCATTAAATAATAATATTTAATGATTTACACTATCAAACAATGATATTTAATGATCTATACTATTAAATAATGATATTTAACAAATTTATATCATTAAACAATGATATTTAATGATCTATACTATCAAATAATAATATTTAATAATCTATAGCATTAAATAATAATATTTAACAAATTTTTACTGTTAAATAATGATATTTAATAATCTATATTATTAAATAATAATATTTAATAATCTAGTCCATTAAATAATAATATTTAATGATATATATTATAAAACAATGATATTTAATGATATATATCATAAAATAATGATATTTAATAATATACTTTATTAAACAATGATATTTAATAATATACTTTGTTAAATAATATATATTGACAACTCTGATATATATTGATATATATCAAATATCTATTTCAATATGCATCAATAACTCTAATATATATCAATATATAACTAATGATAAAAATTGATATAAATTATCCTAAAAAATTTTCTAATATAATATTATATAATAGTGATTTATATTTCTGATATCAATCTTATCCTAAAAATATTAGTCATATCTGAAAATGTTTTCACTTAGCAAATTCTTTATACACTCTTCTATTTTCTATTCTACATAAGCTGATTTCTCTTATTTATCCTTACATATCCTCATTATTACATATAAACTTTTTTACTCTCATGATCACTTGCAAATAATTCATTAATTCACAACTATCTAGTTTATTTACTAATATCCTGCTATCTTTCTTACTAATCTCTATCATCCATCTTCTTGGTAATCTGATTTTATAAATATTCATCTCTTTTCTTTATTCACTTCTATCTCAAACCAAAACTTAACAAATCTCAATTCTTTTCATATATTGATTTATTTTATAATTCCAAAAAACTATATGACTTTCCCACTATTAGGCACAAATAACATTCAAATATTAACTATATATAATAGCCAGAATGAAATGCTTATCTATAATCATCAAGGAAAAACTCTCAGATCATACATCTTCTATCTCTTATAACACAATTCTCAGAGCACATACAGATCTAAATCTTTGCAAATGTCAATTTCCATTTTCTCTACATATTAACAATATCTGTTCCATAGCAGAACACATCAAAATAGCATACACTAAATTTATTAAGCAAAAGTTGTAGCTAACAACTTCACATAATACTCTCATTAACTTCACAGTGCCAATTTAATTCTAGATTGGCCTATCAGTGGCTAATCATATTGATATCTTCTTAAAAAGACTTTTCTGGTAGTCTATTTTGTATAATAGGAAGCTGTTCCTAGGATAACTAAAATTCTGTAATTTAGCATAGTTTCTTACATCTTGGGTAGGATTACATTGTAGCATGTTAAAATAAAATAATAATAATAATCAATAAGATAAAAAAAAATTTTTTTCGCATCTCTTCCCTGTCAATCCCTTGACCAGATGAAGTCCAAGTTATCCAAGGTGAAAAAACTATCATAACTGTCCTTTAATTATAATAATTTACATAGTCTCATAACCAAATACAGTCTACTACTCATAACCTCTTTTATTTTATTAAGTTTTTTCTTTTTCTACACTTCTTCACAATTAATATTATACCTAAAAATTCGTTAGTACACGACTTGAGTCAATTTGTTGAACACTAATCTTTACTAATAAATTACAAGTAATGACGCCAATCAATTTTATGCATAAAATCTAACAGTAGTTGCATTATTATTGTACCTTACACAGTTTTGATTAATTAGTGCGTGAAATACCCCAATGTTACATGTATCTATACGGATAGTATAAAATTTGATATACATGTAAAACACTGTGACTTGGTTAATTTATGTTCTAAAAATTGTGTGCATTTCACATCTCTAAATTTTTGCCAACTGCATTTATTATCACGTGAATTTCTTTTACAATTTACAGCGATATTTTAAATTATATTTTATTTAAAAACTTTACATGCAGAATAGAGTACTATTATAAAAAGCTTGGAACGCAAACTTAAGGTTCGTTTATAAAGGGTTTGACTATACAACGTAACATGATATACATGTATCGCTGTGCAAGATATCATAGGTCATTAACATTCTACAGGTAAACTTAATTGATAAAAAAATAAAAAATTTATGTACATGTATACATGTATTTCATGTACATGTGTATTAAAAAAAGAGGGTGTACTACATGGATAAGGGGAATTATTCGTTTTACATGTACATGTATGTTTATGTGACTTAATACATGTACAACATCATAACGCTACTGATGACATGTGTATATATGCAAGTAATTTCCCTCAAGATTTAATCTCTGAAAAACTCATAAAAATGGGAGGCTGTTGCTCTAGACGCTATTTTGAAGATGAAGATGGAACTATTAAATACCGTCTTATCTATGGTAGACGATATCATAATCTTTCGAATTCAATGTATTTTGTCGCAAATGATGAAGAAGAAGCCTTTCGTTTAAGTAGATATCATGAAGGTAAAAAAATTTTTGCTTTAATTTGTGTTGCATATTAGAATACTCTATAAATGTGATATAATAAATTTTAGCAATAAAGGAGATTTGGGGAGGAGCTTTTAATTCACCTGTTGAAGAGAAATTGAGACAAGGCGCCCATGTTATTGATATTGGGTATGTATTGGCGATGTTCTCTTATAGATATTAGATATGTTACTATCTCTTTAATTTTATGAATAATAAAAAGATGCGGGACTGGAATTTGGATTTTGGTAATTTTATTCTATTATTAGTTAGATATATGCTTCTTTAAATTAACAATTAATTTGTAAAAATAGGATATGGCACAGCAATATCCAAATTCAAAGTTTGTAGGAATTGACATATCTCCAATACAGCCAACAGAAGGTCTTCCTCCAAATGTGAAGTTTGTGCAGTATAATGTGTTGGATATATTACCATATGAGGATTCATCTTTCGATTTAGTTCACGAAAAATTCATGACGGTCGCTTTTACGGAAATACAATGGAAAGAGCAAGTTATTCCAGAAATGATAAGGTTAACTCGGCCAGGTGGATGGATCGAGATTCTAGAAGCTGATCCTGGTACATCTGAAGGAACTGCTACAAAGAGACTTATAAAAGCTGGTAAATAAAGAATATTTATATCTTTAATTAATAATAAGATTTATATAAATTTTTATTTTTAGTTAATGATTTTATGGTATCGAAGGGAAGTAACCTTACAATTGGCAAAGAAATTCCGCGCATCCTTGAAACCACAAACGCGTTTTCAGAAATCAAAAATCAACATAAAATTGTAAATCTTGGCAAAAAACATGGTAAATCTGCGGAAGAGGTAAATAAATATGTAATTCACGAATTATTGACAAAAAATATAACGTTATATGTTTTTCTAATATAAACGCTCCCCTTTTACGTGTTTTATTCAAAGTCTCTAAAATTTTATGTTCGCGGCCTCAGCTCTGTTAAAGGCTTTATAGCGACCTCGATGAATATAATGCCCGAACATTATGATGCTCTCGTAGAAACAGTACCTATTGAGGCGGAGAAATATTCTACTTATTTTAATCAATATCGAATCTGTGCTCATAAGAAGAATTAAATTTAATGATTTGTAGATTATAAATTCGTTTTTAAAAATATATTTTTATTTGTTATAATATTTCTTGGATCTATTTTTATTTTTATTTATTCAAAATTCCTATGATGAAAGTGAGCAAAAAAGATGTTTCAAATGCTTTTTGATTTCATTTTACAAAGTATTTAATAGAGTTCAATCAGAGAATTGTGATGACCAGTCAAGTAAGTTGATCTCAATTTCAATGAATCATTGCTTTACTTTTTAAAACATGTTTGAAGTTATTATCTCGGTGAAAAATAAATCTCTATTCTTTAGCATTATCTTTCAAATTGTGTTCAACAAATTAAAATTTAAAAAACTAATATAAATATTAATTATTATTTTTCATTTATTTTTCTGAGTTTTTCAATTCTATTAATAATAAAGCAATTCCAAATTACAATTGAATCACTATCAAATTCACTATTAGTCTAACATAATAATTTTTTAAAGATTTATACCTTTTTCAATAGTATTTTCTTCTTTCTGATTCAAATAATTAAAACTTGTTTTTATTTATTAGATTATCTGCTTCAATTATTAATTATTCAACTTTAATATTTTTATTATTTTTTTAATGAGTTTTATTAAGTAAAGATTTTTTTATTTTATTATAAATAAATTTTTTTTGTATTTTTTATTAAAAAATCTTATTTTTAAATTCATAATAATAATAAAATATTATTCAAATTATATGAATTATAATTATAACAAATTTAATTAATAGTTCATAAATCATTCTACACCATCTTACTATGCCATATGTGATTTATTATATCATAATTATCTGATTTTTCCAAGAGAAATCACATAGTTCTTTGAGTTATTTTTGTTTCAAAGAATAATTCTTTATAGAAGTTCTATTTTCTCTTATTATATAAATATAACTAGATATATTATTCTTTTTATATTTTCATTTATAATTTTTATTTTCTATATTTGTTTATTTATTTATAATCATCTTCTATAGGTATTATCTATTTAAGTAATATATATTAATAATTATTTAATTTTTATGTAATATTAATTTATTTATTTAAAGATATTATTTTTATTTAGTAATAATATAATAAAGATTAAGTTTTAATTATAAGTTCTTATCTATTTTTAACTTATTTTCTATATAAATCTAAGTTAATTACTTGTTATATCTTAAATTTTCTGTGTAAATTTTCCTAATATTTTATAATATATAACTAAAAAATTATAACTTTGATAATAATAAAAAAAATTAATACTATATATATATATATTATATATTTATATATAAATTTACTATTATTTTCATATATTATATACTCATATATAAATTCATTATCTTTTATATATATATATATTATATATTTATATATATAAATATATTTATAATATCTAATTCTGAACTTTTTAATAATTAATTTCAATAACTTCTTAATAATCTTGCTAATCTTATTTAATAATAATAATAATAATTTATAATCACTCTTAGTAATAATTATAATAATGATAATAATTAACAAGATAATAATAATAATTCTTCTATATCAAGAATTTCTCTCAAGATTCCTATTTATAAAAGAGAATTATATAAAAATATTAATATTTAAATCTTGAAAGTATCTAAAATACTTATTATTCAAAAAATTAAAGATAAATAAACTTGTATTCTATATATTAAACTAGTATTATAATAAATCTGATAAGTGAATTTTTACTTAAATTTATCTTAATAATATTTAAATTGGGAGAGATTGAATTAAATAACAAATAGAAAAAAGAAAATTAGATTATAAATTCAATACTAACAAAGATTTCTAAGATTTATATTAATATTTATAGATATTATAACTAAAAAGATAATATATAAAAGAAAAGAATAATATAAATCAAAAATATTATAATAATTAATAAGTGAAGTTATTTATTAATTAAATATAATTAAAAACTTATATTAATTAATAGTAAAGCTATTATTAATAAAATAAAAAAACTATAATTAAAGAAAAATATAATAACTAAGATAAATAAAAATATAAATTAAAATAATTAAAAGTATATGACTTATTTATAATAGAAATCTTTTACTCTCAAAAATATAAAAATTAATATTTCAAATCAAAATTAATATAATATTATAACAAAACTAAAATTAACTTTATATAATTAAAGAAATAAAATCAAGTAAGAAAAAGAATACTAGTAATAAGAGTTGCAACTAGTTACAACTTGTCACAATTCTCTGATTAGCTATCACAACTCTGTTATAATTCTTTAATTAGCTGTTACAAGTTATAACTAGTTAAGGAGCTATCTTTAAAGAATACTAATATAATTAGAAAAGGAATCAAAAAATTATTATTATTATAATAATAAGCTTTTTTAATTATACTTTTCAAATAATTCAATTTAAAATTACTATTTATTTCAAGCTGAGAGAACAAGTTCTTTTATATATTTTTTGAATATATAAATTATTATAATATTATTAATTAATATTATCTATATATTTTAGAATAAAAATATTTCAATTATAAAAAATTTATATAAATTATAATCTGACTATTACAATAAAAACTAAATATCAAGATTTTTGTATTATTAAGATTAAAATATTATAACTAAAATATTAAGATTTTTTTAGAAAAATAAAATATTTTAAAAGAATAAATATAATCAAAAAGATTTATAATTATATTGACTAATTATTCTGTAAAGTATACTAAAATAAATATATATATAAAATATTAATATTAATGTGATATATATAATTGAAAATATAAATCTTAAATTTAAAGAATAAATAAAAAAATATGATTTTTAGAATATAAATATAAATATAGAGAATAAATATAATAATTAAAATAATTATATAATTGAATAAAAATAATAATAATCAGATAATAAATTATAAAAATAAAGAAAAATAGAATTTAACATAATTAAAAAAAGATTATAAAATTAAAGAATTTTATATTATTATAATAATATTTGATTCTTCTTCAAAAGATTTTTGCTTCTGCAAAAATTAAGCAATAATTTTCAATATTCCATTTCATTTCAAATGAAATAACTTAGATAAGATAAAATTAAATTAATTAATAAATATTTCTTCTTCTAATTAATAAATATTAAATACTTTTTGAGCAATATTATATAGTTTTTCATATACTTATTTTTCAAGAGAATTATTAATTTCTCTTTTAATTTCTTATATATTCTTTCAATATTTTTGTGATCAAATTGAGAATAAATATTTAAGTTTATAATATTAAATTATCTTTTTATTATTTTTTAGTAATTAATTATAGATTACAAATACTGTTACTTCAAGTTTTATTGACTAGTTTCTTTCAAAAGAAGATTTAGTTTATTCAGATATAATAATTAGGAATTTTAATTTTTCTTCAAGAACTATTAGAATTTACAAATTCTATTTCTTCTTTAATAATTTTATCAAAAATAATTTCAAATTTATCTTTTGGAATATTGATAATAAATTTATTTAACCAGTTGAAGTTCAATTCTATAGTTATATTAACTAATTTTGAAGATAATTTAATAGATTTGATTAATAATTAATCTTTCAAAAAATAATTATTATTTATTTTAATATCTTTAATAAATTCAGATTATATAAGTAAATCTAAAAGAGAAATATAAATTTCTTGTTCTTTATTATTATAGATAATTAATCTAAAAGTTAAAAAAATAATTATTCTAAAGAATTATTAAATAAGTAATTCTTAATATATTTTTTTAAGAGATTTGATAATTTGAGATGAGATTCAAGTTGATAATTGAGATATAATAATAATAATAAAAGTAATATAAAGTAATATAAAGAGATAAAGAATAGAAAAAATAATATATAATTTATATAAAATGCAAAATTTAAAAGAATAAAAAAAAGATAAAAAAAGAAGAGAATATTTATATATATTTTAAACTAATAATTTATTAAAAATATAATATTAATATTAAGATTTTTGTGTAATAAATATAAAAAAAGAATAAAATATAATAGAAAGTAAATTTAAAGATAAATATTATAAAAATAAAGAGATATTTATGTGAGTTACTTAATAATTATTTATTTTCAAAATAATCTTGATCATTATAATAATATTTAAGTTATTTCTCATTAATAAAATATTTAAGAATATATTTATTCTGAATTTGAAGTTTATAAGAATTATATCCAAATAATTATAAATATAGTATTATTATTTACTTTAAATAAGTTGAAATTTATTTCCAATTATTAAATATTATATTATGTTAAATAGTAATATTTTATTTCTAATTTCAAATATTATTTCTTTTTGTATTTTATCATATCTTTCTTTTATGTTTTGTTTGACTTCTATAATTTATTAAGATAGTTAATCTATAATATAATATATTTATTATAAAATCTTTTCTTTTTTTATGAATTTCTTTTCTAAATTAATAGGAATTTTTAATTTAATTAGTAGTTTAATATTTTATCTATAAGTTAAGAAAAATGATTTATATTTTGTTGTGAAATTCTATAAGCAAAAAGAATAGTAAAAATAAAAATATTTCATTCTTATTTATGAGTTATTATTAATTTTTGTAATATTATATATAATATTCTATTAAATTATTCAATTATTCTATTGATTTAAAGATAATAAAATGATAAAAATTTGTATTTAATTTCAAATTTTATTATTAGTTCTTTAACTATTTTATTAACAAATTTTAATCTATTATTTAATTAAATTTTTTTAGAATATTTATATTTATAGATTATTTCTTTAAAAATAAATTTTGCAATTATAATAATTTCTTATCAGATATTAATTTAGCTTCAGGCTATTTAATAAGATAGTTAATTATTATAATAATATATTAATTTCTAGTTATTATTAATTTGCAAGATCCAATTAAATCTATAACTATTCTATTAAAGAGTTATTCAATTTTGATAAAATATAAAGATTATTTAGTAGTTTATCTATCAGTTTGCTAGCAAATTT